TTGTAAGCTGAAGGTTGTTTTTTTTTTTTTTTAAATGTGTCTTAACTCTGTTTGTGAACATTTCTGGTGTGCATTTTATGATATAAAGCAGAGTATATTAAGGTACACATTTAACCCAAAACAACATGAGTAGACAATATGGCATATACAGTATGTATTGTGACAGAACTGATGATGTTGGAGCCTGAAATTTTAAATTTCCTGTCTTGTGATAATTAACAATGTGACCTTTGGACCATGTATTGGGAACTGCTAATATGGAATCCTGTGCTAATATGGAGTCACACTGAGAGACAAAGAAAAATGTTTAGCAAATAGAAAAGGACAAAATTAGTAAGGGAAAAGTTCTGTTCAAACAAACCTGACTGTTTAGTTGATAGTGCTAATGCACAATGAACTAATGTAAGTGCAGTTCTGAGAGTGTTTTTTGTGCTTGCATGTATTTGAGCACATGTATGTGTATATATCTAAATAGTTTTAGTCAGTCATGCTAATACTATATTTTCAAAAACGATTTTATGAACCAAGTGTCATTTGTTAGTCCTACAAGAGTCTGGCAGACTTCAATGGGACAGCTTGCAGTATTAATGTTAAGCACATGTATAAGTGTTTGCAGGATCAGGCTTATGAATGCTTGTTATAATTACTAGGAGTCACATTCTGTCACTTTTAGTCATGCTGAATAGTCCTGTTCCATGCCGAGTCATTTTAATTGGGGGGGGGGGGTGAAACAGGGTGACCCCCTTTCTCCTATTTTATTTAATATCGCTATAGATCCCCTTTTAACTAGGCTAGAATTAGAAGGAAGTGGATTTTATGTTCAGGGTAGTAGTGTCACGTTGTTGGCATTTGCCAACGACGTGGCAATTTTAAGTAATTCATATCAAGGGATGGCTAAAAATTTGGATATTTTAAAGTGTTTTTGTAGTAATCTTTGTATCAATGTGAAGAAGACTAAAGGTTTCCACATTTTATCGAAATATAAAACTTATGTAGTGAATCCAAAAGAAAATTGGAACATAGGGACTGAGAAAATTGAGTATGTTCAACTGGGAGAATTTGAGAAATATTTAGGTACAAAAATAGATCCCTGGGTAGGTATTAGAGGGTTGTCACTCAGGGAGAAGCTGAATGAATGGAGTGAGAGTTGGATTAAGGCCCCCTTGAAACCGGCTCAGAAATGACTGATTTTACAAACATTCATTTTACCACGTCTATTTTATAACCTACTTTTAATAGAACCCCCTTTTTATCTTTTAAATGATTTGGATGTTTTAGTTGTAAAATTTGTTTGGCTATTTTTCTATTTACCGCAACGCACCACTGATGGATTATTTTATTCAAGAGGAAGGGACGGAGATCTTGCGCTCACAAAATTTAGTATACAAATTCCAAATATGTTAGTTTGAAAATGGAGGAGACACACTGTCTCCAAAAATAGTTGGATAGATCTCTCATAGTTATATGCTGGAGAAAATTTAATTGATAAGATATTGATATTTAGTGCAACAACACCCCATCCTAGAAAATGGAGAGAAGAAGAATTTTTAAGATGATGTGAGTTGCGATGTCAGGGAATAGGAATGAAGTATTTTAAAAATGAATTAGTAATTCATTTATGAAAAATTCTAGTAAGATTAAGTTGTCTTCATTTATTGCAGCACTTCAACTTAAAGCAAATATATACCCTACAAGGGAAACGTAGCAAGAGGAAGAGGGGAAATAAATGCCTTTTGTAGATGGTGCAGCAAGGTGCAAGAAATGATACCCCACATTTCCGGACAATGTTATAAAACCAAGGTTACTAGAATTAAAAGACACAATAGGGTAGTTTTGGCTGTTATAGATAAGGTAGTTAAATTAGGATGGAAAGCTTTAGTAGAACCCCACTTAAGAAATAGTAGGGGAGAGTTGAGAAAAACAGATATTATATTTACAAAAGATGATGCGGTGGTGGTGGATGTTACAGTGCGGTGGGAGGATAATGCCAAGAGTTTGGAGCAAGCGCACAGAGAGAAAGTGACTTATTACCTCGAATTAGAGGTAGAGATCAAGAACTTAATGGGAGGTTAAAATATCCACTTCTTTGGCCTTGTGCTTGGGGTGCATGGCAAGTGGAGTGATGGAAATAATGATCTTCTGCAAATATTAGGTATTTAGAGAGGCAAAAATTTTAAAGAGAACATTTGTAGACTCGTTTTATATTCCACAGTCGACACAATGTCTATGTTCAGTGATATATAAAGATCTCGGAGCTTCCATTCTGTGTATCTTATCAAAACTAAATTTTAGCTATTTTGTTTCCATATTTTAATTTTGGATTATTGGTTTGCAATAGCTATATATCCATTGCTATTTACTATCTGCCCCTTCATATATAATGGTTTTAAAAATTATTAATAAAATTAATGGATTATATTAATGGACTGGCCGCTTATAGTAACCAGAAAAAGGCAGGTAGTCATGCCTATACATAAATAGCCAAAATCAGTGTAGGAGGAATCGAGCCCTATATTGGAATAGAAACTCTTAAACTATGCTTTAAGTTTCTGTAAGGCTTATTGAGTAGATGAAGGAGAACTGGTTCACATAATTTAATTGAACTTTCAAAAAAGCCTTTTGGAAAAATCCCCTCACAAGAGGCTTTTAAGGAATGTATGTAGTGATAGTGTGGGCAGTAAAGTACTACCATAGATTAGAAATTGGCTAAGAGGCAGAAAACAAACACTGGGAATAAAGGGTCAATGAACTGAGGAAAAAGTGCCATAAGATGTTCTGTACTAATATATTTATAAATGATTGGGAAAAGGGGGTGGACAATACAATGGGAAAATTTGGCATAAGATACTGTTATGTATGTTAGTTAAGACTATATAAATCAGTGGCACATGCTTACCTGGAATATCATTATTGGTTTTGATCACCCTAATTCCAAAAGAGTATGATAGAAATAGAGGAGGCTCAGATATGAGCCATGAAAATATTAGGGACATGGAAAGACTTCCACATGAAAAAACAGGAAAGAGTTGGGCTATTTAGTTTAGAGAAGGTAAATTGTGAACTCCTATTTATCCATTCTCATAATACAAGAACAAAGACATCCATTGAAACTGAAAGGCAAGTAGTTTAAAACTGATCAAAGGAAATTCCTTTTTATACAACATAATTATCTTGTAGAACTCATTGATACAAGGTACGTCACTGAGGCCAAAACACTTAGTATGATTTATAGAATTATAGAAGATTAGGATTTGAAAAGACCTCAGGAAGTCATCTAGTCCAATCCCCTGCTCAAAGCAGGACCAACTCCAACCAAATCATCCCAGCCAGGGCTTTGTCAAGCCGGGCCATAAAAACTTCAAAGGAAGGAGATTCCACCCCTCCCTAGGCAACCCATTCCAGTGCTTCACCACCCTCCTAGTGAAATAATTTTTCCTAATAGCCAACCTAGACCTCCCCCACTGCAACTTGAGACCATTGCTTCTTGTTCTGTCATCTGCTACCCTGAAAACAGCCTAGCTCCATCCTTTTTGGAACCCCCCTTTGGGTAGTTGAAGGCTGCTATCAAATCCTCCCTCACTCTTCTCTTCTGCAGACTTAAAAAACCCAGTTCCCACAGCCTCTCCTCATAAGTCATGTGCCCCAGCCCCCTGATCATTTTCGTTGCCCTCCGCTGGACTCTCTCCAATTTGTCCACATGCTTTCTGAAGTGAGGGGCTCAAAACTGGATGCAATACACCAGATGATTAGATATTTGTGTGGCTGAGAACATCTACGTTCAAGACATAAACCAATTACTAACTGATAGGTGTTAGGAAGATGCTTCCTCTATGAGCAGCTAATGACATTATCGCCCACTATGGGTTTTTTTTGTCCTTTCATCTAAAGCATCAATTACTGCTGCTGTCAGAAACAGGATGCTGGATTAGAGAGTCCACTGAGGTAATCCAGCCTGGCAATTTCTGTGTTCTTATGCCCCTTTGTTTCCATTTTAGTTAAATTACTTCATGGAATTTAATCCCATGATTACAAAGCAGCCCCTCCCAAAAAAACCCCTACAAACAAAACAAGCAAAATTGCACTATATTTGTTTTGAAAGTAGGATTTTTTTTTTAAATGAAATGCATATACTCACTCATGTGAACCAGAAATAGAAAAATAAAATATATCTTTTATATAAAATATTGTTTGTAGTTTCAAAATAGCTAACCAGCAGCAGTATTTAAACCAATTGTTATAAAATATTTATATATGCACAGGGGAACACTTTACCTGTATCCTTTACTTCAGAGCTGCATTTGGCTGGTGCTGTTCGATTTAATTCGTTTCATATCAAATGTTTTTATAAGAGGAAACAATGGTATTGTGCTTTTAATATTGATGAGTTTACTGTCCTGAGAATAATTGTATATGTACCTTCTCAATACAAACTGTTTGTTTTATATGGTAATTATACTAATACAATATCCCACTGAAAGTTCAATGTATATCTTTGAAAGTGTGTTCAATGGATCAGTTTGCATACACACCATTTTTTATTTTTAGAGAGGGGTTTTTTTTGTTTTTTGTTTTGTTTTTTAAAGAAGGAGAACTTATTTAACTGTGTCTTTATGATACAAATGAGCTAAATGTGTAAAATACACATGGTATTGTGTAGCCTATTGAAGTAACATGTTTAAGAACTTTATAAATTATTAAACTAGCATATTTGTATTTTTGGGGCTTACTAGCTTATTCCTCTAGGTAATGACAGAGTAATTATGGTACCTCTCATTTAACTTTTCCTCTTCTTTTTTCCAGAATTCGAACTTTGAAGTCCTGAAATTGTAGCTATTTGATAACAAACTGAGCTGTGATCTCCCCTGAGCTTACAATGCAAGCAATTCAAACAGTGGAAAAAGAAGTAACTCTTATAAAGGAAACACTTTTCACAGAATCTTTTATAAAGAAAGAGGAACGTAGCAGATCCACAGTGCAAAAGCAACTGTGTCAGGAGCAGCCATTGGAAGGAGCTGTCTGCAGCTTTCAGTGCTGTACTGAGCATGTCCCAGTAGAGCACTGTGCAAGCAGCATATTATGCAAAAAGGCAGCTCTAGCAGATGGGGGAGAGGCACAGCAAGCATTTGCGTCGCTTGCATCACCACCGCCTGAAAACAAACCTGGATTGCTAGAAAGGAGCTCGCCGACAGGCCAAGTGAATGAAATCCAGCAGCATGGCTTGATTTCTGAAGGGGTTGGATTGCTAAAAATCATGGGGAACCAAGATGGGAAGATAAAGAAAAATTCAGGTGATGTATGTGAAGGAGGAGAGGATGCGTCTGGGCCCAAGGATACAGAAGGCACAAAGAAGGGAGCAGGAAGCAAAAAAGGACTGGGGAAGCATGGTAAAGGAAGTGAATCTGGCAAAAAGAAGGGTAAGTCAGACTCTCGGGCCTCAGTGTTTTCAAATCTGAGGATCAGAAAAAATCTGTCCAAGGCTAAAGATGGGACCAGTAGTTCAAGGGAGGATGTTTTAGAAAGCCAGGCCTTGCATACAGGGGAGCTGGACAGTGCTCATTCAATTATTAACAAAACTCCGGATATAAGCATTTCTGCAGATGAAGCGGGTCTCTCGGACACAGATGTTGAGCATTTTGAAATTACAAATGAAACTCGCCCAGCTGCTGCAGAGGCACAGGATGGACAAAGGACCAGCTCTGGCTCTGATACAGATATATACAGTTTCCATTCAGCCACAGAACAAGAGGATTTGCTTTCTGATATCCAGCAAGCTATTAGACTGCAGCAGCAGCAGGGGGCAATTAACATTGGAACTGAGGAGCAGGTCACCAAAACAATGGATCCACACATGGCTAATTCTCAAGCAGCCCCCTTAGATCTTGAACGGTTTCTTTCAGTGACTAGCAGTGACAAAGAGAGTAGCCCAGAAACTGAGCTGGCTGTCTCAGCAATATCTGAAATTACAGAAACCATTCCCCACAGTGAAATTGAAAGTGAACTGAAAGATACAGCAAATGTAACAGCGTATCCTGGTAACCATTTATTTGAAACACAAGAACACAAGCTATGGACTGCTGAACAGGAACATCTTGAGGCTGAAGTGAATGCTGTAGCTAGTGAACTCAAGGATTATCCACATTTAAATGCAGCAGTGGCAGAAAATGGGTCTCACATAGACAGTTCTGCATTCCATTTTCTGTTCCCAGCAGCAGATTCGGAGACTGAAATTAGTGAAGTACAAGCTGTTGATTTCCCAGGTTCTGGAAGAGATGATGATTTTTCAGATGCAGGCCATGATCATGCTGCTGAGACTCAGGAAGGCAAATGCAGTTTATCAGCCAGCCAAGAGGCACTGGAGAGTGGTTTTTCTACTGAAATGAAAAATGGCACTTTGTCATCTGGGGAGATAGTGGAAAGTCCTCAGCTCAGTTCCCGATGCTTTAAGCCATACCTAATTAACCCATGTTACATCAAAACCACAACTAGGCAGCTGAGTTCTCCCAGTCAGTCACCTTCTCTTTCCCCATCCCAGAGCCCACTTTTTAAGAGACGACACGAGTCCTTCCACAGAAAAGAGAAGGAATCAATCAAGAAGCAAAGGTCCGTCAGTTTGGCTGGTTATTTCAGTCGATCAGCAGACTGGACAGAAGAGCTATCTGATCACAAAGGTGAAATATCTAAAAAGGTTGGCTCTGCAGACTTACTGGAGTACAGGAGGTCCAGGGAGAGATTGCAAGAAGAAAGAGAGCCTTTGACTCACTCAAGGAAGTCCTCAGGGGTCCAGGCTTCTACTGATAACTTTCCCAATGTCTTTACAGGTGAGTTACTTTTATTAAGTTTAGTAAAGTGACTTTCTGGGTGAAAATCTTACAAGTATACATTTCAGACCTCCAAAATAGCATGTGCTAAGTTTAGATTCAAATCTTATCTGTGCAAATTAAGGCCCCAACCTTGCAAACACACATGCTTTTTATGCATGTGAGTGATGCTGCTGTGGTCAATGGGACTACATGCAGTCATAACATTAAGCATATGCATAAGTGTTTGCAGAGTTGGGGGCTTAATTTGCTGGATCAGTATTTAATGCTTTACAGTTTCTCCACAGGTAAGGGTATTAAATATATTGAGAATTTGTAGTTGAAAACTGTTCTAAAATGTTCTGTCACAGGTAAGTTGGCTCTCTGGGTGTATAGAACATTCAGAAAAGAAACTTTCGTGTGTGTTATGTGTCTATTGTATTGCAGTGGTGCCTACAGGACCCAGTTGTGATTGGAACTCAGTTGTGCTGGGCACTGCACAGATATGGAGTAAACTGTGGGAGATGAACATTGAGTCTCACAATATAGATTGATTGGTCAGCATCTACTTATTCCAAGTTTTAAACCCTCCAAAATAGTGGATCTGTTGGACCTACTTGATGTTAGACACATTTACATATCTAACAGTAGCACTATTCATTCCTCTTACAAGAAGAGGCATGTGGTACAAAATGGAATCAGGAGTTCAAGCACAGAAGGGCCACACTGCAGAAAACAGGCTTTAAAAGCTTGTGATGGAAAACTTGGTGGTTTTCGCCTGTTTGCCATGCAGGCTACATTGTGTAACTCATTCAGGTGTAACATATTTAGGAAAGCATTCACTGATCTTGCCTGTTAGGCATCTTATAGCATTATGTCAGAAAGCTTAGAAATGCCTATTTTAAAATAGCACGCAGTTTGATTGGAATGTTCTGTTTACTGCCCCTTATTTTCCTCTTTGTTTTTGGAGATATTGTGTGTGTGGTTTTTTGGTCTTTGTTTAAGTTGAGCCTCCAACAAATAGAGCAGGCCTGTGTCACATCTGTCACATATGTTCCCTAATTTTCAATACATCTCTGATGTTTTGGAAAACTATGTAAGTTATAAGATACTGCAGTGCTACAAAGTTTACACAAATATTCCTTTGTTCGATTGGCTTAATCTTACACACAAGCTAACACCAGGCTAGATTTGGAAGGAGATGGAAGTCATACTGAATACATAATTTTAATTTACCCATCTTTCAATGCTGTTTGAAAAAATGTTGTACTATTTTTAGCACCTTTATAAAGTGTGGCAGGTTTCAGAGTAACAGCCGTGTTAGTCTGTATTCGCAAAAAGAAAAGGCATCCGATGAAGTGAGCTGTAGCTCATGAAAGCTTATGCTCAAATAAATTGGTTAGTCTCTAAGGTGCCACAAGTACTCCTTTTCTTTATAAAGTGGTGGGTCTAATTTTGCTTTCTTAAAGAAACATTGTCATGATTTAAAAAAATCATATATAAGGCAATCGTTTTTACTATCCACAATTCTGTTTCTTTAATAAAAAGGTAACTGAAATATCTCCTTGTTTATAGCCAAGATTTTAACCTTATTTTTAATCATGTATTACCATTTGTGCTCCTCCTTTACCCTTCCTACTTCACTCAGTTTGCACAGTGCAATGTGACAGTTTAACTTCTTGTTTCTAGTCCTTTTCACTAGCTGTTCTTGTAGAACAGCACAGTACTCCTGGATTTGTGGTGTTCAGATTGAAATATTACATATTAGTCATGATTTTTATAATTCAATGAGTACATTTTTTTTTAAAGGAGTAGACTTGAGCAAAAATCCTCCATCTAAACTTTGGAGTCAGAACCCACATCTTGATCTGAATTCCACGTCCCATCTGCATTAGATTGAATCTGTGCCCATTTTCAAATCGCTCCCCATCTTCACCACAAACTTTGGATCTAATTTTAAAACTCCCCACATCAGAATTTTGTATTTGGCATCATCTCTATTTTATACTGGAGTTACTAAATCCTTTTCTAACAAATAATACATAAATATTTGCTGAAAGCAGTGTCTTAATAAAGCTTTATAATTTAAAAAAATCCCACAAACTTGTTCACTCATTTTCTCTCTCTTTCCCCTTTATGGTTGTACTTTTAGAATAGATTTTAGTTATGATAAAAACTGAAGTATTCTGGTTTATTTTAAGATCCTCTTTTCCATGGATAGCTTCTCATTTCTTACAAATATATTTTTTCTCATCCTGTAAGCACTTCTTGGTTTTCATTCCCTATATCTCCAACAATCTAAAGAGTGTAATTGTGAAAGGAGTAGTGTCCAATGCAGCAGTAGCTCTGTCTGTCATAGAAATTACTGTGACCCTCATTTGCATGCATATGCCAGCTGTCTGTGCAAGCAGAGGGTGATTATGCCTTTCATGTTATGCAGGATGGTTACGTTTAAAATGAAAGAACTAGAACTATAATTTATGCATAAAAGAACAGGCTATTGTCCTTTTTTATTGCCTGCAAATTGACAGAACAGTGTAAATAATAACAACTGGTGTGAAAGAAAATGGGAAATAAAGGTAACATTAACTTTCCCTATTCTCTCATATAGTATCAGAAAAGCTTCCCTTGCTTTCTACTAAAAAATATTCCCACTGAGCATCCTTCACAGCAACATTTATAGAAATAAAATATGGTATCTTCCTGACTCTTGAACAGTATGCTTTTTCTGAAAAAAATGTATTATTTATTTCCAGCAAATTTAAGTGTGGTTGAGGGATTGGGATTACTAAATAGATTTTAAGCAAGCAATCTTTATGGTTTCTTATGTCTCTTTGAAATCTAAGTATCTTGTCTAGAGCACTACATCTTGCTATGCAGCGCTTGCAGTCAGTACATAATATCTGCATTCTATATAGAATCAAGTCAAGTATTCCACATCAGTTCTGTTACTGATTTTAATGACAGCAGGTTGTGAGCACATGACTGGCCTAGTTTACAGTGTATTGTATTTAGGCTCTGTGCCCTGTGATTATTATAATGATCCACGTGTTCTGTTTTAAGGCTGTTCTAACACATGACATAAATAGTACTGAGCAGCTGAAATTGTAATGCTAATATATTTCATATTCTGTTGCGATTTTTTTTTCTTCTAATTTTTGATAGAATTGATTTAAGGAATTTTTCTTAGTATAGTATAAAAATTAATAGCTAGTGGTCAGGTGTCAAGCTGTTTTAGGAAAACATATGCAATATAGAAAAGGAGTACTTGTGGCACCTTAGAGACTAACCAATTCATTTGAGCATAAGCTTTCGCGAGCTACAGCTCACTTCATAGGATGCATACCGTGAAAGATACAGAAGATGTTTTTATACACACAGACCATGAAAAAATGGGTGTTTATCACTACAAAAGGTTTTCTCTCCTCCCACCCCACTGGTGCTATTACCAGCAGGAGAGTGGGGTTGGGGAGAGAAAACATTTTGTAGTGATAAACACCCATTTTTTCATGGTCTGTGTGTATAAAAACATCTTCTGTATTTTCCACGGTATGCATCCTATGAAGTGAGCTGTAGCTCACGAAAGCTTATGCTCAAATGAATTGGTTAGTCTCTAAGGTGCCACAAGTACTCCTTTTCTTTTTGCAAATACAGACTAACACGGCTGTTACTCTGAAGCCAGTCAATATGCAATATAGGTTGCCAAAAAAGCAAGTTTGCATATTTTTATCATTTAAATCCTGATTAACCATAATACCAGACTAAGCATGCTGTGGGGCAAGTTTATAGTTCATTCTGAAATTAAGACAGTGGATCCATTTTTTAAACCGATAGCTGTTTGAAATTGCAGCAACAGTAATTACAAGAGTCTAGATTTCAACATGATGGGCATTGGGAGCATTATTTTTCACTTATGGTCCCAACAGGACTAGAGCAGGACATGAATGGAAAAAATCAAATCCTGCAGTTTCTGGGTATGTTTTTGAATTGTTTTCCTGACATTAATAGAGATTTTGTGGTAGAAAAGTGGAATTGCTGGTCCCCAACATCAGAATAATGGACATAGAGCTAATAATTTTGATGAAGGCCTTTTTTTATTAACTGCATATATCATAGTATTAACCATAGCAACTTCGATAGGATTTTTAGTAGAAAGCTTTACCAGCTCTTTTCCTGTCTTTAGGGATTCACCCAGTCATTTCAAATGGTAACGTATTAATTTTGTTTAAAAAAAAACAAAAAAAACCACCCAGCTTTTGGCCTGACTGCAAGGTACTTGCTAAATTTGTTTGAATCTGTTTGAATTAGACACATGCATTTTTAAATGTTTGGTTTTTGTCTGTCTCTCTCTCTCAGAATAATTAACAATAATTAAAAACCCCTGAAGGCAATCACTTTTGTGGGCTTAAAGTCTGATTCGCTTTTACACTAAGGCTCCTTTACAGCACTCTGGCAGTAAATGTAATGTCACTTATGCACACTTTAAGGCCTCTCTATGCTGCCAGACACTTGTAAAGGGACCTTAGTGTAACTGAGAATTTGGACCGGAGTCCCTTGATTCTTTGAAATGTTTATAAAGTTTGGTCGCTTCAGAAGGCTATTGAGTGTGCTCAGAGAATTTTGTTGTAGTTTTGCTAGGTATTTTCTATTTCATATGACATCCTCAATGTGGATTTAAAAATATCATCCATCAGGAAAAAAATTGTTTATAACACTAATGATATTTTGTGCTCTAAAAGCTATTGGTAAATTGTAAGTGGTGTTTGTCAACAGTAACATAAAATATGTCCTTTATCAAGAAAAAATAAATGCAAAACCAATCAACGAGAGCTAAACTATCATATGTGTTTGAAAATGGACAGTGATGAGGCTTATGAAATAAATACTAATGCAGCACTCGTGTTGCCCTGACATTTTTGTTTCAAAACTGCCCGTTTGGGGGATTCTGGGATGTAAAGACCTATTACAACTTCTGTAATGTAATGCTACCCAAATAGTTGTAGGTTTCCTGATCACTATTT